ACAAGTTAGTCAAAACAGCGAATGCTTCTAAGCTGATTGGTACCACTTCGTGGAAGGAGCAGTTTGTGGATGCTTTAACCGTTTCAGGTAATAATTTTTTAATGATTGTGCAATCTCTAGTATGGTTTTGTATACACAGCCGAGCTTACTTCTTACCAATAGGTAGTGGCGACTTTAATAGTGAAGAGGATACTGACGAAGACGAAGTAGGGATTGATGAAGATGAAGATATCGAAGAGAAAGTCGGGCCCAGCCGAGGCGAATACTTCATGCATTTCATTTCAATATTCTGGAAAATTTGTTTTGCGGTAATTCCGCCAGCAAGTAAGTCGAAAACGAAAGCTAGCATATTATATGGATTTGGTTAGTTAGTTGGATGCAGTGCTTCCTAGTTGTTGTTTAGGAATCAATGAGCGTGTTTTTGCGCCATTCTGATGCACTTATTGCGGGGGATATTTTGTCTATTTTATATGTGTGTACATCCTATGTTGCTTGGTCGAACAATTTCGATTATCTTCTTCTTCGCTCTCTTCTAGATGACAGTTGCTGTTTGGCCAAGTCCTCGTGCTTATCTCGGCTGCAACAAAATAGTGATCCAAGTCAATTTCATATCCTGGGATCGTATGTACGTAATTAGCCACCTATGTACACGTTTACCGCTGTACTGGCAAGTGATCACTGGTTTGAAAAGTACTCTAACCATCCAGTTATTGGATTGAACTTTTTTACGGGATTTCACTAATGCCAGTGCTTGTTTAAATTACGCCAGTAAAGTTCCAGCGCTGGCCTGGTATGCTACTGGAACAACGTAAATGGGACATAGGTAGGGTGACCACACTCTGATGATTTTTCTTTCGACTCATCTGGTCACCCTAGGCATAGGCAAACTGGGTTCGTCTAAGACAACATGATACATTTTTTCGATCTGTTGATAGCAATTAAGACTGATGAATCCCTTTATGCTCCAACCTTGTGCTGCAGGCAACGATATTTTGGGCCACTGTGATGTCGTTAGCCTCAGTCCATTGTCGCACTTTTTGTCATAGAGAATAAATTTCCCGATGATAGGATCAAAGACCCCTTCCTTTCATACGCCCACAAAGTATTTGACATCGGAATCTCCCTCCCACCGCAAATTCGACATGAAACTTGCGCTCTTTCGCGTTACAGTTCTAGGGGGCATTGCAAGGTCCTTCCTGATCTTCTGTTCTCAAACCATAGTCTTAAATAAGTTCGCAGGGGATATCGTCGAAAGTAGGGCGTCTTACGGCTTTCTGCGTCATTCCTCACTTCTTCTTCTTCTTAATTGGCGCTGTAACCGCCTAAGCGATTTTGGCCGAGTCCAAAACAGCACGCCAGTCATTTCTCTTCTGTGCTAACTGACGCCAATTGAAAATGCCAAGTGAAGCCAAGTCCTTCTCCACCTGGTCTTTCCAA